TTTTTTTTTTTTTTTACTTCAAACCAAGCGAGTTATGGTAACTGTTCTTGTTCAATAAATGAACCTAGTGTTTTATAGATTCAAATAGACACAAAATCTCATTTTTATTCATTCCACTGGTAGTCTGTTTTGCTCAAATAGCAATAGAGGCCTGTCTCTAATTCTGGCCTCTTTCCAATAAAGGCCTGGACCGCGATGCACTTGAGTGAAATAAAGGCCCGGGCCTATATTAGAGGATTTATATATATATATATATATATATATATATATATATATATATATATATATATATATATATATATATATATATATATATGATGCTATTGTTACACCTTGATTTCCTTCTATGGGACAATAAAGGCAACTTTTACTAAACAAAAAGAATTAAATACAAAGTTACTAACTAACGAGGTTAGTGAGTACATGAGTTAATTTTGAAGTTAACATGTAACTAGATGTAGATCAATATTTTCAGACAGTAATGGTTATCAGTAACCAAGTATATCAAGGTTTCAGCAAATTAATATTTTCCAGCTGCATAAAAATGCTACGTTTAATACCATCTTTACAGTTTAGACAGCGTTTAATGAGAATTCAAAAACGCCCTAGAATGACTGGTTTCTGGAGATAAAAACAGAGCAGCATCTCTGAACGCATAACACATTGAACATTGACTCAAATGGGATACAGCAGCAGACGATCACAACGGGTGACTCACCTGTCAGCTAAGAAAAGGAAACTGAGGTCAAAGTTTGCATAGACTCGCCATAATTTGACAATAGAAGATTGGAAAAACCGATGAGTCTCGATTTCTGCTGCGACATTCCTATGGTGGAGTCAAAATTTGTCATCAACAACATGAAAGCATGAAACCATCCTGCCTCTATCAATGGTTCAGGCTGGTGGTGGTAGTGTCATGGTGTGCGGGATATTTTCTTGCCACACTTTATTTTCCTTAGTGCCAAATAAGCATTGTGTCAACGCCACAGCCTGCATGAGTACTGTTGCTGACCATGTCGATCCCTTACCCATCAGCACCTTTGGGATATGGTGGGCAAGAGATTCGCTTCATGGATGTGTTGGCAATAAATCTGCAGTGAGATGCGATCATGTCAACTTGGAGCAAACTCTCTGAGGAATGTTTCCAGCACCTTGATGAGTCTATTCCATGGAAGATTAGTGCAGTTATGAAGGCTAGCGGGGTCCAACCCAGTACTAGCAAGGTGTACCTAATAAAGCGACCAGTGAGTGTAATTATTTCCTAAGAATTATTAAGTCAAGGTATTCATTCCTTTTGCATGTGGACTGATTATTGTAAAATAATATTTCCCTAAAAAACAATATCTGTAAATATATGGTTTTCCTGGTTATTATTGTATTAAAAGATGCATATTTGTTCATCAGTTGTTCATCAAATCTGTTTTGTGAACAGAAAGTGAGAAAATACAAAATACATTTTGTACAGGCGAAAACAGTGGCAAAATAAATATTTCTGAACATTAGTAGCTCACATTGGTTTTCGTTAAACTAAGGCACCTCACAAAGGGAAAAATGTGGAGACTCCTGATTTAAAGTGTAACAAATAACCAACTTAGATATAAAATTTGTAAAACATTAAAACCGGATTCCAAAACTATAGGTACGGTTAGGTCCAAAATGATGCAGGTTGCAGATTTAGGTCTAAATTATGTTTGAAAATTTACCAAAGTTATTTCTTCTGACTGGAAGCAGAGTTGATCATTTCAAGTTGTCCCACCACATCCTGTCTTTAAATAGATGGAGCAATATAATTATGATTAGTTCTGTTGTCATTTAAAACGAAGAAGAGTCATTAGAAGTATACAAAACCCAGTCTCACCACTTCCTTTATTTGTGCTATTTGCAGTATCCACCCCCCACGCTCCCAGCTTTGCACTTCATGATCATTTCGAACGTTTAAGCCTGTAAAGATGTAATTCTCTCACAGAGATGGTTAATAGAGTCTGTTCTTCCTGAGCTGATGCTACATGTCCTTTGTCTTGGCCTCTTTCATTAAGGTATGTTCACCTTCATTGCTTGATGTCACTAAAATGTATCAAAAAGTCTCTTCCTGTTTATGGCTATAGAAGACAAGTTACAACTAAATATACTAACATGTATTATTCAGCTGCTATAACTGTGTCATTCTGAATTATTTCAGGGTTTAATACATGTCAAATCCTCACCGTTTAGACACAACAACGGTAGTTATAATGTTACATTTTTTGCACATAAACACAATATTATTTCAATTGTATCCAACTTTGGTGAATTCAAACTGTCTAATAAGGAAGCAACACTTATTGACAACCACTTTCCCATGCTGTTGTGCAAAGGAGTGGTTCTGCAGTCGTGAACATTAGACTACTTCTCAGTACATATGCTCTCTGGCTGATGTTTTGGTCACTTTTGAATGTTAGGGATGCTTTCAGACTCGTGGTAACATGAGAGGGACTTTACAACCCATACAAGTGGCTCAGGTATTGCTGATCTTCCAGGATCTTCCTATGATATGTGCCCGATATCATAGGGGGTTGTGCTCACAGGCCAACACTGTGCAGGATGCTTGGCATTTGCCAGAGAACACCACAATTATGGTGTCAGTATTTTGCCAAAAATCCACACACACAATAAATACTGCTACAAACACCTACATTAATACAGACACTCATTAACTCTTATGTTTAACATGTTACATGTGCAAATAGAATACTACAAGACTCCAATACATCACATTTATGAGTGCTTGTTCCTTCTGTGAGTGCATGTGGTTTGATTTCCTGAATACTGACCCCATACAGGATTGGCACATTTGCCACTGGTGGCCTGTGCATTTCATAAATGAAAGCAGGTTCACACTCAGCACACGTGGCAGGCGTGACAGAGTCTGGAGACACCATGGAGAGCAATCTGCTGTCTGAAACATCCTTCAGCATGACCGATTTGGCAGTGGGTCAGTAATGGTGTGGGTATGGCATTTCTTTGAAGGGCCGCACAGGCCTCCATGATCTTGCCAGAGGTACCATGGCTGCCATTAGATAGTGAGAATAGATCCTCAGACCCCTTGTGAGTCTCTATGCTGATGCCATTGGCCCTGGGTTCCTTCTAATGAAGGGAAATGCTAGTTAGACCTAATGTGGCTGGACTGTGTCAAGAGTTCCCACAAGATGAAGACATTGTGGCTATGGACTGGACAACCCCTTCCCCAAATGTCGCACATCTGGGACATTATGTCTCGATCCATCCACCATTACTTTGCACCACAGAGTCTCCAGGAATTGGTGGATGCATTACTCCAGGTCTGGAAGGAGATCCCTCAGGAAACCATCAACCTGTAATGCCTCCACAATATACTGCCTCTCTGGGTCAGGGGAAACTAGGACTGGAGCAGAAGTGAAAAGGTTCTTCAGGTGTTTAAATGCCTTGTCAGCCTGTTCGTTCCATGTGAACTTGACCTTAATGGAAGTGAGGGCATGGAGTGGGGCAGCCACCTGACTGTAGTTCCGGATGAAGCGCCTTTAAAAATTAGCAAAACCCAAAAACCTCTGCAGTTGTTTCCTGTCACCTGGAATGGGCCACTCAGTGACTGAACGAAACTTGGCCGGGTCCATCGACATTTGGCCAGGGGACAACATAAATCCAAGAAAAGATGTGGAGGTTGTATGGAACTCACACTTCTCGGCTTTGACATACAGCTGGTTCTGCAACAGACGGAGAAGAACGGAACGGACATGTTGCCTATGGAGGGTGAGGTTATCAGAGTAAATGAGGATGTCATCCAGATACACAAACACATAATGACCAATCATGTCTCCGAGGACCTCGTTCACAAGGTTTTGGAATACAGCAGGGGCGTTAGTGAGACCAAAAGGCATGAATAAGTACTCATAGTGTCCTGTTGGAGTGTTAAATGCTGTCTTCCACTCATCACCCTCCCTTATTCGGACTAAATGGTAGGCATTTCTTAGATCCAGCTTAGTGAAGACTTGGGCCAGCTGGTCCTGATCGAAAGCAGAATTCATCAGGGGTATCGGGTAACGATTCTTAACAGATATGTCATTTAGTCCCTTATAATCTATGCAGGGCCGGAGTGAGCCATCCTTTTTCCCCACAAAAAAGAAACCTGCACCTGCGGGTGAGGAAGAGGGACGAATAATTCCTGCTCTTAGGGCCTCGCTAATATACTCCTGCATGGCTTTAGACTCAGGAGCAGATAAGGAATAGAGACGACCCCTAGGTGGAGTGGTTCCAGGTAGCAAGTCAATAGCGCAGTCAAATGGAGAGTGAGGAGAAAGACTCGTGGCTTTGGATTTATTAAATACCTCCTTTAAGTCGTGATACTCGGGTGGGACCTTAGACAGTTGGGGGTAGGCCTCCTCCACCTTGCCCTCCGAAGAGTGAGGGGAATGAGCAGATAGCAGACAGGACTCTGAACAGGATGAAGACCAGCCCGTCACCTCCCCCTTTCTCCAGTCAATCTTATGTTATCTCCTTACTAACCTTCCGGTTAGAAAGGAGATAACATAAGCAACCTTAGCCCTATCATTGGGAAAGGAAGACGTTTGAAGTTCGAAATGTATTTCACACTGGGTTAAGAATGCTCTGCATTGTTCAGGATCGCCCCGAAAGGATTCGGGTGGGGAGGGACGGGGCTCGGCAAACGTTTGCGTCACAGGAAGTGACGTGGCAGCAGTCTGAACCGTTTGCCGAAGTACAGGGACCGGAGAGTTTTGAGCGCAAAGGTGTCTACGAAGCTCGGTAACCCCGGCTTCTAACTGGGATATGGATCTATCAACACCTGTGCGCCAGTGACCGTCGGGTGATGGGTCCATCTAGTTGGCCAGATCGTACTGTAATGAACCGGATGCGGACCCAAGATTCACCACAACAGGTCAGTGACAATTTAAGAAGTTTATTGAGAAAACAGGTGATTGGGACGCCGACTCTCGGGCGTTCAGCTTCCGTGTGCTGACTGATATGACCTAGAGACAGAGGGGCAGGTTAGTGGCGGCTCTGGCAGGTTAAAGTAGAAACTGTCTGATGGACTAACCTGATTTCACACGAGGTTTGGGCTCAGAGGACCAGCCAGGAACAGGTAGTATGTCCAGATATAGATTCAGACATCCAGCTGATAAGCAGTGGGGGTTTCAGTGGGCTTGTTCAGTTTCTGATCCAGTATCACAGGACATAGAGGGGGCCGACAGGCTCAAGAACTTTCAGACAGAAATGGGTCTTAGGCACAGGTAATCATTCCGGAATCCAGAGACTGACAGAGCTGGTCTCAGGCAGGCGGACAAATCCAAGAAGGGGACAGGCAGGCTCAAAAATCAGAGGACAGGACAGGATCAATAACAGGCAGGCAGGCAAAAGACAGGTTTTCAAAAATAAGGCTGGAAGGTGGCTTGAAACGATCTGGCAATGGAGACTCATGAGGACGGAGCTTATATGCAGATGGAGACAGGTGAAACCAGTAGAGATGATTGCGATGGGGGTGGAGACTGAACCAGAGTCAGCTCCAGTTCCAGGATCATCACACAACCACTTTATCAGGAGCTTGCTCAGGCATTGTAGGGAGGTAATTCAGGCACATGGAGGCCACACACAATACTGAGCCTTTATACTCACTTATTCACTTACATTTTTTGTGTGACTCCAAATTCAGGGCCCCATTGGTTGATAAATTTGATTTAATTAATGATTTTTGTGTGATTTTGTTGGCAGTAAATTTAACTTTGTACAGAACAAAGTATTCAATGAGAATATTTCATTCAGATCTAGGGTGTTTTATTTAACCTTTATTTTATCTTTATTATCTTTATTTTTTTTTTAGCAGTGTATTATTTCCCAAACTTGCTAATGCTGTTATACAGAGTCATCCCTGTTTATAATACATGTTGACTTCCTTGGTTATTCCTACGTCTAATGAACTTTACAATGTTACAGCTTTGTTTTTGTTAAAGATAGGCTCTGTGTCTGCAACTCAAAGCTCTTTCTCTCTGGTTCTTTTTTTCCTAAAAAGAGATCACTTGAGACAAACTCTTTAAATAAAACTTCCTAGCTTATATATATTAAATAACCAGGAGACATGACAATAGATTCTGATAGAAATTGTAATCTTACTCAGATCAGAGAAGTTGCTTAGAGTTTACAGAAGGCAGCTGCTCACTTAGGAAGTGACCCCGATTAACAGTTAAAAAGGCATTTTATACATCTCGAGTCTGCCACATCATCATATTTTACATCATATACGTTTACAGATGAGTAGAGAGCATGGCTCCAGCCTTATCAAAATGTTACACTTTGTTCTTAGCTCTCATTCCATTTCCAAATCTTTGCCACGTACAGAATGAGAGATTATAACCATACATCCGAACAGAGGAACTGTCTTAATTAGATCAACTATTGTGGAAAACATCAGTTCTGACACGCAACAGGCAGCCAATTACAAGGTGTAATAAACTCACTAATCATCAATGATAATCATCCTAAATGTTTTACTTGCTGATGTCATGATAACTTTATCTATCATTTTGCTCCAGTCTATTTGTTGTGTTTGGAGCATTTTACTTGGGTAGGGTCTGTTTTTGGTTTTAGGTTTTTGTGACTGTTTCCTGTACATTTGCACTATACTATTGACCTACATTATTTTAAATGTGCTTCATTAATGAGGTGACAGTCAGAAGCAATAGTTTTTTAAGTCTATACATACAAAAGGATAAAGAGCATGATCTGTTTAAACTCATTACCAGCAAGGGTGCATGTTTCTGCAGCATTCTCTGCTGTCTTCTCCCTTAATCATTTTAAACTCTCAACTGAAAAAAATTATTCATTATAAATATAGTTTTAAGCTCTCACATTCCTGCCCTTTTTAATGTATCTATGCTATATAAATTAAAAATAGGACGTTAAGACATTAATTGAAATGGGAAAAGGTTTAATGACATTTTTAGTACTATGCTGTACAGCTGTTTCCTTGCCTCAAGGTTCTGGGTTTAATCTCCAGCATTGGGTCTGTAAGCATGTTGTAAACATCAGAGGTGGGTAAATAGTTACATTGGTGCAAAGCATATTTAGTTAGCCACTAAATGTTTAAGTTATCCTACTTAGAAATGATGAGAGATAGAGATAGATAGATGAGAGGTCAGAATTTTTCATCTGATCACTTCAACTATAAGAGAGACAGTCCAAGAAATCACATTGCAGGGGTTGTCAAGAATATATTGGTAAATTATGGTGCAAAATATGGGTTTGCTGAATAAAAAATATTCAGCTCAATATTTCGTAGCATACCGTATTTTCACGACTATAAGACGCATATAAACGTCTTTTTTTCCCTCAAAATGTGCGGCGCGCCCTATGTGTGTTGTTACTGCAGACGTTGTTGAGACCACCATGAGAACGTTAAAGGGGGAAGTGTGGGCGTGGATTGTGTATAAAAGAACAGGTATGTGCTTTATGCAGAACTCCTCATCTCCTCATTGAGGAGATGATGAAAGAGTGGCTGAGGGAGGGGAATGTAAGGAGACCAGGTGGTTTTTTTCCACTCATCACCATCGCTGTTAATCTGTGACTCCATGCGTGCCCATCTCACAGCCAATGTGAAAAACAAGGTGAAGAAATGAATGCTGTGCTTGCTGTTACTCCGGGAGGTCTGACAAAGGAACTTCAACCGCTCGACATCGGTGTGAACCGGCCGTTCAAAGTAATGCTACGTTCATGCATCTGCTGCTTCATTTTTGCTGCTTGTACCAGTTAGTTCTGATGCGTGGCTGAAGCAGCTTTGCTGCTCTGGCTGCTCGGTGCAAAAGTGTGTCTGATGCACGTTGGGCGGAGCTACTCTATCCTTTCTTTGCCTTGCAGCTATATTTGCTGTGATCAGTTGGAAAAAAATAGTTTTAATATGTTTTTAAGTGAGAAAGTCCACCTAAAAACTTAATCATTGCAGTCAGTTCATCCAGATTGCAATCCCACCTTCCAATATTATTTCTGTCGGAGCCGCTCAGACCCCCTCAGTAGGATCCCATTCAACAGCAGCCTCTGGCTTGGTCGCCTCCTCGCGGTTCACCGCGGCGGCTGGTAGGTGTTTTTCATCTAAATAATCTAAACTGCAGGCACCAGGATAATAAAAGCGAACATATTCTGCTGGCAGATTTCTGCATTTTAAGTTAATTTATGCATCAATAAACTGTTTTAGAGGAGTGATCACAGCGCTCTGTGTCATCAGCGTTGTGTCTCTCACGGCCGGCTCCCAGGTTTGATTAATACTTTGTAATAAATACATAAATAAAGCACAAACATACTCAGTTTTGCTCCAGCTCTATTTTTAAATACGCAGTAGAGGTATTTAAACGTAGTACAGAATATTTACCGGTATATAAAACCCGCGCCCTATAGTCCGGTGCGCCTTATGTGTGCGTTAAATACAGTAATGGCACACATAACTGACACTGCGCCTTTTAGTACGGTGCGCCTTATGGTCGTGAAAATACGGTAAAATGTGTGGACAATGACAGAAGTCAAATGTTACCTGTAAACATTCATCCTGTTTACTAATACTGCTCTTGTATTTTGGCGTATTCCTCCGATCTCGATTAGTGATGTTTTTGGGGCTGTACATGGGCAACACTCCCTCTACCAACTTTCTATGGAGTCAAGGTCTGTACACTAGCTAGGCCCCTCCAGAACCTTGAAATGCTTTTTAAAAGGCCCATTCTTCAAGGAAGACCCAGCCACTTTCCAACAGCTGATATTTCTCTCCAGGATGGTGTCACAGGCAAACAGGAACAGACCAGGTGAAGCTACTATGTGAAAAAGCACAGAGAGCATAATGTTACAGTTTGAACTAACAAACACTGCAAAGTGGGACAATAGAGATAGAAAGAAGCAGAATGATGAAAAGGGATCCCTATGTCCTCCAGCAATCTAAGCCTATAGCAGCATAACTATAGAGATAGCTTAGGATAACCTTAGTCCTTCTAACTATAAGTTTTATCAAAAAAATATAATTTTAAGCCCACCCTTATAGACAAACAAACAGGGATTATAACAAACTAATATGAATAGTTTATTTTATTTGGGCTTTCTGCTTGTTTTCGGTATGGCTTTCAGCTGTAATTAAAATTTAAGCACATGGTGGCATGGTTGAGGATTTCTCTGCAATTTAATGTAAATACATCATAACCAAAAAAAAAAAATGTATTTTGCTTCTTTCAGCTACTTTAATAGGAAAGCACAGAAACAGATCGGGGAGGGGGAGTGCTGCCTAAAGTGAGCTCCATACAGTTTAAAACCTCCATTCATTCTGGAGCATTCTGTGACATGACATGTAAAATAAAAATTATTTAAAAAACCTATTTCCTGTTTAAGCTAGACTAATTTTCCTCTGAATATTTTAGAGCTCATAATGATCTGTGCATCTTTTAAAGAACAGTTTCCTATTTGTAAGTCTGACTATGGTTTTAACACCTTCTATTGATGTGAGAACAGGAAACAGAGCTGCAGGGTGCCTGCTTACAACGAGAGCTTTCAGTTGCTACAGCAAGGAGCACAGCTAGCCAAGATTTTGAACCAGCAATCTACTAAATATGATTTAGATCAACGATTTTATAGATACTGCTATTCTTTACCATGACTGCTTTTTTGGAAATCATGTTGATGTAAGTTTTTATTACTAAAGTTTTTTTTTTGTTTTTTTTTTTACAGTTTTAGAGTAAAAATATTATGTGGTTAAATCAGATTCAAAGGTTGAGTATTGAAAATGTTTTTAAGATGTCTGTCAGGTAGTAATATTCAGGTGATACTCTACAGAGCATTTTGAATCATTGGTTATCTATAAAAAACAAGTTTTTTTGTTGTTGTTTTAAAGGAGGTATTTAATGTTTGACTGTATGTCAAACAATCAAATTTTGGGGCAAAAGTGGCGTTTGAGGAAGAAGTTTGCCTGGCACCAGGAGGGTGCACGGAAATCAATTCCTATGACTTCAAAAAGCACTATATAAGTAAAGGCCCTTTACCATTTGTCCTCTGTAATATAAAAGGTCACTGGGTCATATGTTTCATAACTCTGGTGCTTAAACAAAAATTCAAACAGTAACACTAATTTCAGGTTTATCTATTATTATAATCTACATGTTGTTGCAGGCTGTGACTTCTTTTATGAAACTAAAGAGCAGCTCAGAACATCTTCCTTCTCTGTGTCTCAGGTCTAGTCTGAGGAGCAGCAGAGGATGAAGATAATCTTCTCTCACAGAGGCTCTCAGTGGTTCCCTCTGCTGTCTGAGGGGCTCCTTCATCTCCTTCTAGGCCTCTGCCTTTATGGTACGTAACAAACATATAGGTTTTAGAATTAGTAGATTCTATTGCACAGGGATCTTTGTTAAACATAATTAGATTTAGCTAACATTAAATTATAATAGATTTGATCTGATTAAGGTATGAATAAAATACAGAAAATTATTTTGTAATTTATTTTGTTTTATAATTTTAACTAAATATATATTTTTCATAAAAGAACAGTTTACCAGGATTATTCCTTCTTTATGTCGCTTCCTCAGTTTAAATTCAAGCTAAAACATATGCTAATACCATAAATGATTAGTATTTATTGTATAATAAACTCTGATATGCTGACACTGTTAGCGATGGTAAATGGAGACGGATCAGGTCATAAAACCTGCTGGTTTTTCTTTTCTTTTCTTAGAGCAGAAATGAACTCTGACCAAAGATGACAAACTCAAATTGAAGGCAGTCTGTGTAATGTGACGGCCTATAAACTCTTACTTAGATCTTATATCTTCATCTGTCTTTTAGGATTTCATGTAATATATATATTCTATAAGCTGTCTGAGTGATCAGATGTTTTCTGTCTAAGTACCATAAATTCCGGACTATAAAGCGCACCTGATTACAAGCCGCACGCTCTAATTTTAGAAAGAAAATCAATTTTGTACTTTTATAAGCCGCACCGGATTTTAAGCCGCAGGTTTCCCACATTGTATGAGATATTTACAATTAAAGATATTACACGTGAGCATTTTTTAACGTTTGATTTAATCCGTATGATAAAAAAACAAATA